TTGTAAATTGGCAATGGATTCAATACAAGCAGTATAAAACAATCCAATAGGAAAGAAATTCTACAAAACAAACAGTAGTGAAACTCCAAATAAAAGGGCTTATTATTAGAGCATTTAAGAAATACATGTGTAGAAAACAGCCTGAGAAATGAGTGAACAATTTCATCCTCCATCATGACTATGCCCCGTGTCACACACTGCTTCTGGTACAGTTAGTTCTGTCTAATAAACATGGTGTGCCTTCACAGACCTTATTAATAAACATGGTGTGTTCTAATACACCTCATTCACTGGATCTACCACAGTATCTTGTGTCTTCTGGCTCCTGCCCAAAGTCAAAATGACCATGAAACATAAATGTTTTCAATCAATTCAGGACATTGAGGCAGCAAAGATAGGACAACTAAAGATCCTCGGAAAAGGAACTTCCAGAACTGCTTCAGAGAGTGGCAAGAATGACGGGGTAAGTGTGTTAGAAAGGAGGGATCTTTTACTGTAAAAAAATTTTATTTAAACATTGACCATATTTTTAATGATAGTATGTATGCAGACCTGCTCAACATCACTAGTCATCAGAGAAATGCAACCTGAAACACTAATAATGCAACCATCCAAAGAATTAAATAAAGAAACAAGTATGAGCAAATGATGGAGAACAAGAAGGACTCTCCTACATTACTGGGTAGAGTATAAAACTGCTCACGCTGGAAAACCATCTGGAAATTTCTTACAAAATCAAACGTACCATTTCCTGTCTTAACAATGCCACCATTACATACTAGAGAAAAAAATATATCCACAAAAAGATGAGCAATATAACCTTTATAGTCCCTTAAATCATAGTAATAAAAACACTGGAAACAATCTGAACATTTCACACCACAGAAATGGAATAAGTAAAATGGAATAAACTATCAATATACCTATGTAACTACATTAATGAATCTCAAAAGCATGTGGAGTGAAAGCAACTACACACAAGAACACATGCTATGATTATATGAAATTTAGAATAAGGAAGACCAATTCAGGGATGGAGAAGTAAGGACAGTCAAAGGAAAGAATGGCCTCTGAAAGGTCAGGACTGAAGAAAAAGAAGGAACTGGGACTCTGATCATCAGTCAAAAGACAGTGTGCATGGACATCTGCATGCACACTCCAAAATGTACTGTAACTTCTGAGGCCTAGATGATCTATCCCTGAATATAAATGTTACCACAATGTTAAAAGCATTTTAAGTGGTGCAAAGATTATTTTTAAACCTCTTTCATTTCTTCTATATATGCCAAAACTATGTAATTTATCAAGCCTTTTAAACTACGTAAGAAAACAACATAAATAACACTAATGTAGCTATATAATTAGAAAAGGTGGTCTTTATAATTTGATCTAATTTGTCTCAAATACAGTGATTTCTTTGTAATCATCAAGCAAGAACATTAAATAAAAGGAACCACCTAATGTCACATAATCCCAGCTACACAAAAGGATGAGGCAGGAGAATAGTAAGTTCCAGGACAACCTGGGCAACTTAGCTTGATCATGTTTCAACATAAAAAGGGTTGGAGGTGTATGTTAGGGTTAGTGTGCTTACCTAGCATACATGAGGCCCAGGGTTCAACACTGTCGGGTGGGGGTGGGGGAGTGGAATAGATTTTCAATTCAAACGCATTAGGTCCATGTTTTTTAGTTATGGAATTAAGTTTCTAACATGGACCCTTAAAAGCTCCTAGGCCAGAGTCATGTGCAAACTCCAACATGTTTTCTCCCTCTGTCCTATGCAAGACAGAGCAGGGAATGCTGCCACATGGGAAGGACCACAACCAGATGTTCCTCAACAGCAGGCATTTAAGAAAATGGGTCAACTAACTAGGAAAACACGAAAGTGCAGTTATATGTGGCACCTTACTCTACAATGAGGGTACTCACCAAAACCAAAGCCTACAAATACTGTAGAGAGCAATACCTACTTCTCAGCACTGAAAGTACTTAGTAATTGTCTTTTTGGTTGATTAATATTCAATGAATTTAAGAAAACAAGCTTAAAATATGTGTGGCTAGGGGAAAAACTAACACATGTGCCTCCAAATAAAAACTAGTGAAGTCCTATGAGTGGCTTGGGAGAAGCTCTATGACTAAGTGCTTGCCTAGGATATCTGAGATCCTGGGTTTCATTCCTTACCACCACACACACACATACACACACACCCCATATGAGCAAAAAGTGCTACAGAAAAATTAGAGTCAATTTAAGAACAAGCAATACAAACAAGACAAAACAACAACCAAGGAAAAAAGATAAAGTAAATAACTTTTTAAAAATATTCTAAAAAATTTTTTTAAAATTCTAATTACTAAATTTAAAATTAAATTACAGGGCATATAGTTTAAAAGGAGAAAAAAACCAATACAACCAGGCAAGAGTTAACAACAATAAGAAATCACAGGAGTTCAACCCACGTGGCATCTAATTCTTTGCCTTCAAAATCAAAGCACCAAATTTTGGCCACCTTATTTTTTCTTTTATGTATGTATGTATGTACATATATATGTCTGTCCTCCCTTTTTGAGACAGGGTCTTGCTATGCCGTGCAGGCTGGCCTTGAGCTCACTTTGTAGCCCAGGCTGGTGTCAAACTTACAACAATCCTCCTGCCTTAGCCTGATGGGTGCTGGAATGACAGGCGTGCACCACCAGGCCTGGCCTTTCTTCATATTTTTTTTTTCTTTCTTCATATTTTAAAAGAACAAAATTGCTTTACTCTGTAAGTTAATTTTTAATAGCAAGTATTTCTTTTTCAAATCAGAAAGTACTAGAATACACACACTAAGTAATTCCATCATCTAGAGGTAATTATAAATGTTACTGTCCTCTTTATCCACACTTTTTTTTTTTTTTTTTGAGATTTATTTACACACACACATTTAGATTTGTTGGGTGGAACTGAAGAGGAGAAACTATACTGTCTTGTATTTTTTTTTCACTTAATTTGTCACAAGCATGTACACTGTATCATAAGAGTACACTGTATTCTGCTGTAAGGATATCACAATGTGATAAAAAATATAAAAATTACAGTGGTTCCATTTATCCTCAATGCTGTAACTGAACGCCTGGTCCATACATCTCTGAAACTGTCTAGAATAATTCTTTTGGATAAGCTCATTAAAATGGAATTGCTAAGTCAAAGGACACCATCAAGGAGAGGAAAGGGTCTAATCTTTCTCTTCCTGCAAGCTAAGAAGTCAGCCTTCCAGCTTCCTAGAGGCTGTGAGAAGACTGGGTCCCTGGTCAAACTGGGACAGATCATTACTAACAACACTGGCAGCAGCATTCAATGTGAGGCCCCACTCCCACTAGGCTCCGTGATCCTGCCCCGAGGGAGCTGTGCTCCAGGAGTGACTCTGGGCTCCAGGCTCAGGGAACCCAGATCTGTCACAAAGGGCAGTGAGCACAACTTTCTGACCCCACAGGAAGAAGAGCCAAGTCTCTCAAGGCCACCAGCTACATAAACCTTGAGAAAGACTCCGCAACAAAGGACAAGCAGGGATTTGCAGGTAAAACATGCAGAAACCTAAAGAATCCATGGGAAAGTGTCTCCTGAGAACATTTCCAACACGTTTCCCCAACTGAATGAGACTACCTGACCAGTAACTTTGACATTTGCGAACAATAGATGAAAATTCTCAATAAATGAAATTAATTTTCCAACTTCAAAATACCATAAACTAAGAAAAACAGCATGAAATCAGTGGACAACGGATTCCTAGGTTTCCTTTTCTTACCTATCTACCCCTGGAGATGATCTCTTTGGCAGCCTTCTAACAGCTTCTCAGATCTCCTTCTCAGGTGTATTTATGTAAATACTGTACCTTTACAGGTTTGACTGAGCTCTGTACTAGGGAGACTGCTACAGAATTTGATGGGGAGCCACATTTCCCTGGCCTCTAACCTCCCCAACCTTTTCACATCTTTGGCTTTGATTTGGCTCCCTGGCCTAGATACACTTTCCTACAACTGGAGATCTGGGTAAAGAGTCCCTACACTAGTCATCCCTCGTTTCTTTATACTTCAAGTTTTTTAAATAGTGACAGAGACAGACAGAATGCACAAAAAGAAAAATCAAATTTAGTTGATTTTTTAGCATTTCAGCAGGAAATGCTCCTGCTGTGGACCTACCACTTCTCAGACAGGACCTTGTAGACTGGGAAAAAGGACAGGTGAACAAAATGCTTTATGGGCTGAATTTCTAAAGCCTTGGTGTAACATCTGAAGTAAATAAATAGCCAGGCCAGTAAACATCAGTTTTCATCATCTCTCAAAGACACAGGGAAGCACCATTAAGATAAACTGAGGAAAAAAATACTAAAAATATTTTTTAAAAGTCCGTTTCCTGGACTAGGGAACAGTTTTGCGGCCTATACAACTTGGCCACAGGGCCAGCTCTGGATAACAGGTCAGCTGCAACATACTCCACGCCCACCCAAATCTACCCATCTGTGAGACGACTTCGGGGGGCCACCTCTTCCACACAGGCCCCTAGGGAGCTCCTCGGTGTCTGAGACTCTCTTGGGCACCGTCTTCTTCTGCCCCACAGGAATTTGCAAGCATCTTTCCAAATAATTTGAAGTCAAAAATCAAGCCCTATCCTCTTGTTTCCTCAATACTAAACAGCATCTACATATAGGAGCTCTAGAATTTTTGAGTAACAGTCCAAATTAATGAATATTAACTAATTAAGAGCACTAACTTCCACATCACATTTTTGAGATAACCCCAAAAACCATTTAAAAGACTAACACTCAAAAGGTGCACACTACCTGGAAACCAGGGTGCCAGAACTCACTTCACTAAGAGTCTAGGAAAAATTCACGGTTTTTACTACACTCGTCAATCAAAGAGATGTCTCAACTTCTCACTGAAGCTAAAAGGATGCTAATTTTAAAGCTGGAGGAAAAACCAGCACACTTTTTTACTCTTTTTAGAAGTTGAACAAATACCTCTTCGGTCTCGGGAGCAACATGGGAACCAGTAATCCCATCTAATCCATCTTCAGCAACACATTCTTCCTGCTCTTGCAGCCCTTGTTGCCCACCATAAGCCTGCAAGTATTCTTCATCCTAACGACCATTAAAGAGAAAACAAGGTTTTTCTCACACAGCTTCTGGTGTTTGTTGTTTAAGCATTTTTCGTCTTTATGGATCATGCTTTTAGCAGGTTTTACTATGGCAACTATGAGACTGAGCACAAGGCGCTAAGCACAGCCTCTACAAATGAATGGGAACTAAGCACAACATGCCAAGGTTAGCGCCTCAGCGTCTGGGCTCTGCATCAGGCCCATGCTGTTAAAAGTGGCTCTTCTTCAAATCAACCCCAAGAAAGCAATCTGAAGAAAGCGTGCTCATTCTCAGAGGAGCTTGGCAGCCGAAGAGACTGAAATTATTACTAGTTCTCGCCAGTTCTAAGGCAACAGAAACAACACAACTATGGACAATTCGATCAATTCAACATAGGTGGTTCTTACAAATCACAGGCTGTATATCAGGTCCCTCCCTTGAGTGACAAGTTCTTTGTAAAACTTAAGGACTATACCAGCACGCAGGCATCCCTTCTGCGCTCATGGAAGCAAGCAGGAGAGCTCTTTGAAGATTCCCAGTCTGCCAAAGACAGCAGGGCTGCTCCTGGTACTACTAGCGAAGAATGACAAGATGCAATCCCACTCAGTCCAGATAGGCTTCCCAGCATTCCCGGACATGGGGCAAACACGCGCTTACAGAGCAGGCAACCCAGGAGAGTGCACAAGCTAATAACAGCCTACCACATGGCGTGTGACAGTCTACCTGTGCACCAAGGACAGCAACTGGGCAGACCACCTCAGGTCCCACAACTTCCTCACCTCAAATGATGAGAACACACTGCTTGAGACTATGCTGAACAACTGTTAGCATCCCCTGAGAAAAACCAATTCCATGACCCTTGGCCCACTAGCAGCAGAACAGTCAAACTTCAAAAGCAGCCACAGACGCTTATCAAAACTTCAGCAAATATACTCTAGAGTATAGTCTATACCACTGGGTTCTCACCGGGAAACAGCAATCTGCTACCCTTTACATGAAGTGTCAATCTGAAAGGGTTTTTATGAAAGTGAGTATGTTCATTTTTATAGGCCTAAATGCAGTGACTGCATGTAAATACAGGCCACCAACAAATAACTTTCTAATATTTTATAGACTAAGTAGTACATAGACCTTCTTACTATAAGAGAGTAAGTTTTAAAACAAAAATAGCATTTACTGTCAAGAATAGCACCTGCAAACCTCAGACTTCAGGACCTTGTTACGTTGGAATGTATCCGGAAAGTAGGCCGGGGCAGTGCTGCCAGCTCTTCCAGCGTTTGACCAACATTCTTCACAAGTGACCATGCCCCTTCCCACTGCACATTCTGTGGTTTTATGTTCTAGGACTAGTTATGCATATCAAGTCCTCGATGTCACCTGATGGGTGAGCCCTCCCAAAGAGAGAACACACAGAGGTGTCCATATCTAAGTTTAATTCAGACTTTGAAGTTCAAGTTAGTAAATCCTAATTAGGGCAAGGAACCAGTTAAAAGAGCCATTTAATAAGCTAAATATTGCTGGGGTACATGGGAACACAATCTACTCATGTGTTCATTAGTACAGTAATAAATGAATAAATAATGTGTGTGAGTGGCAGCCTAAGAAGACAGTGAGGGCCACTGCCAAGCAGCAGTGCAGTATTCCATTTAATTCTCCCTCTCTCTTCCCTCCAAAGTGATCTTTTCTGACTTCCCACTGAGGTATCTAGGAGATAAAGAAAAGGACGCCTAGGGCTGCATGCCCAAGAATGCTACAGTTAGAGGACAGCGCTCACTAACACTCTACTGTACTGCTTTTCCTCAACTGTCAAGATTACAAACAACTTTGTGAAAATATCAATCAGGACATTTTCAGAATTTTTTTTTTTTTTTTTTGGTTAAAAAAAGTAAATTTCGGAATTTTTACATAAATTTTTACTTTGGATTTTGTTTTAATTCTGAAAAAAAATTCTCTTTAAATGGCAGACTCCTATGAATACTTTTAAATTGCCACATTTTCTTTCTTTCAGTATCTAGAGCTTATGCTTAACAACTATGGTGTATTTTATTCCAGGGGCCTTTACACAACCACAAATGTGATAGAATACAGCTGAGGGAACTCGACTGACTAGAAATTTTCCACAACACTACAATAATGCAATATAAAAGGCACTCCTCTGTGTGCCTTTCATATACTCTCTACATATACTCTACATATACTCTCTGCAATGATTTCCCAGACAGGCGTCTGTCCACTATAGCCAAACTTCAAGGACAGGACCCACGGTTCAGATTTCTTATGGCTTAGTAGTATTTGTGCCTAGTGCCTGCACATCAGTAAAGATATATCACACCACTGAATTTACTCAAAGATGATTAACTCATGTTATTTCACTGATGTACAGAAGAAACAATACTCTAGGAAATATTTAGGCACAGTTTTCAAAGGTCTTGATTTAATCTTTAAAAAGCATTTTAAATACAATGTACCACTTTAATAAAGTATACAAACACACCAAAAAGCACTTGGCCACCTAGTGAAGAATTTATTACCAAAATAAGTCATTATTAGGCTCAGGAGACAAGTTCCGTGAGGCTTTTATAAGACTCTACTTACCAAGCCACTTCACTACTCTATCAACTCAAGATCACGTTCCAAAAAAAAATCAAATCTTGAACTACTGAGACAGCTAAGCACAATCATGACTAGAATTAAGTATCTTAAGGTTCCACATACACCATTCGTTCAAGAGTTCTACATGCACCATTCTTTCAAGATCACACACACACACACAACCAAAGTTCACAATTTTTGAATGTTTTCCTTGGATGGACACACACTCTGAATAAAGCCATAAAGAGAAAGAGCCACTCCTGCATCAAATGGGCTCTCCTTTGATGACACTGCACCAGGCCCATTTCCACTCTACCTCACCAGACCCTCCTGCTTTAAAAGCCCTAATGTCTACACAGCAGCTGGGATCAAGCCTTCCTGAAGGAATACAACTAAGTTCTTATCTTAAAAACACATATCTTTTGATGCATCATTACAACAGATGAAGAATCTTACTTGTTCTTCCTTATAGTTCAACTTTATTTCTTTTTCAACTTTCTTAAAAAGAAAAAAAAAATACTACCTATCAAAACCATCTTTCCAAAATAAAAATCAACGCAATCTTTGCTTCCCGATTACAGATAACAAAATTATGTGTGACATTTCCCAAACTAACCTCCAATCTCTTTATTCAGGTTTAGACAGTTCTCAGTTACAAAAAGGATGAATGAATAGGACATCAATCACTTTGGAATATTAGCACCTTAAAGATGTCTTTAGCAGGTCAATAATCTTTTCACCTTAGAAGGACTTTATCAGATCTTGTCTAAAGCCTGGATAAAAGACCTGCATTAAGTACTTCTAACAATTGACAGTGTATCTCCACCACACAAAGCTGTTTTCTTCCTTAGAGTGCAATTCTCAAGGTCACCATTCTTCCCAGCCTTCCAGAATGACAAAGGAGCATTACCTCTGGCCAAACAAGCTGTCAACATAAACTTTGTCATAGCTCAGATAAAGAAACTGGCAGACAGTGATAATAAGGTCTAATTTCCCTCCTTCCCAAGGGAGTTAAATAGATTTCAAATCAGTCTAGAAACCTGTGCACAGGAAGCCATGTTATCTTTAGCCATACAAAGAAGAAAAGACTCACTGTAAATTCATCTAAGGGTTCATTGATTTCGATGTCCAACACTTCATCACTGTATAGCTGCTCCTCCTCTGGCTCTTCCCCATATTCTATTTGATCTTCTGTCAACTCTGTATCATGGCCTTCATACTGTCCTTCCTCGGGGTACTCCTGAGTATACAACTCCGGACCATCAGATTTGTGGTATGCTAGCTCTTCCTCTCCTTGTTCATATTCAGATTCCTGCTCTCCAGATTGGTCATTAGTGTTGTCAGAAAGCTCAAATGATGTAACCATACCAGATGTGGTATTGAGACTGATTGTAACATCCTGAGAGCTAGACAAAACAAAAATACAAAGAGAGTCACCCACTGAACATGGAGCTCAACACTAAATCACTTTTTACAGTACTACTATAAACATGTAACGAAGACTCGAACTATGACTGGTTAAGTTATTCCAGTTTTACTCCAACAAGGAGTGAAAACAAGGCTCAAAGTGTAACACTGAGCCAGCGCCAAAAGCGCAAAATGCAGGTAATAGAGCACAATGTACTTCATGAGTCCATGCCCTAGACTTGTGATGAGGACACAGCCTCCACTTCACTTCCCAGCTGAAGGTTATCTGACCAAAGAATCATCGATCCAGTAAGGTAGCAAGTCTGACTGGCAGAAATCTAAGACTGAAACCAAGCATTTTATATTTTATTCTAATCCACAGAAAGAATGGATGGACTCTGTTGCTAGGAATGTACACTCAACACAAGAGTACTGCTCCATAAGCAGAAAATCGAAACTAGAACATTAGGAACAATTTGGTTTCTTTATTTAGCTATATAATGCAAATTTAGATTCCTGTTTACAAGAAAATAAAAATATTAAAAATCTTTATGGAAATACATTTGATTGTTGAAACTAAAAATGTATACTAGCCACAAATTTCTCTAAAAAAAACCTGGTAATTTCCAAGTAAAATAACAGGAATTCAGCACTTCAAAAAATCATATTCCACCTATTAAAAGTCATAACAGCTAAATACCAAACAGATGCAAGATAAAATTTCAAATGAAAGATTGTGCAAGTAAGTGTATGTTTACACATATTAAGCAGCCAATCCAAACAAAAAATTGGATATATAACACAGACTTCAAAACACTGGCTAAAAAGATATACATCAAGGCCAACCTTACTCAAAATATCAGATTATAATAATGATGTCAGCCAGGCGTAGTGGCACACGCCTGTAATCCCAGCACTCGGGAGGCTGAGGCAGGAGGATCGATGCAAGTTCGAGACCAGCCTGGGCTACAAAGTGAGCTCAAGGCCAGCCTGAACTGCATAGCGAGACCTTGTCTCAAAAAGACAAAAAACAAAAACAAAAACAAAAAATAATGATGTCAAACAGTAGGACAGGGAAGTGTATGTAACTGGTAGAGTAATTTAAAACTGTATTTTTACCCATATAGTTAGAAAACCTGTTACAAATTGACAAGACTATATAACATGCATTTATTAATTACACTTATAACCAAGAAGGATTATGTATTTTACCAATGTTTCTTCAAAAAAATGGAAAAATTATTTCCACCTTCCAGGATATTATATTAAGCATCTCTCTCCAAAACAGTAATTTAGCATACAAACATGTACTAATAAAAATTGTCTGAATAGAAACAAAGGTACCAACATCAACCTGCAGGAAGAGTCTACGGTCACTGTCCTTCATTTAAAGAAAGCAATTCTTTAAAGACCAATATAGAACAGTATTGAGTTTTTATGACCTGCACTGAATGAACTGAAAGGTCATCACATGCAAGGCCTATACCAATTTTAAGCAGCAGATCTATTTCTACTGCAATACATATGGATTCTACATTAGAATACATAATATGCCATTCGGAATGTAATCAAATGTTAAAAATAAAACAGCATATCATTCAATTACGATTGACTGTTAATTGTAACTTAAAAACAGATCCTGTTAAAGAACATTTTTAATGAATTAATATTGAGTACCTGAAATTTTCTTCATCTTCATTATCACTCTGTAAAAGGTCATCATTTAGCTCTTCATCTGACAAATCTGACTGATTCTAATTAAAATTAAAAAATCTAATTAATGTGTGTCACTTTCAAAGAAGATGTTACAAAGGTATAAAGTTATATTAAATGGACTGTTTCAAGCTTTATGTTATTAAAACATTCACCATCCAGACGTTTTTTCAGTTTGATGTCCCTGTGGACAATCAAGAACTCCATACAGGGCTTCCCTCTTTGAACTAATTTTTAGATGCTACATGTGAGGAAGTATAAAAGTGGTTAAGTGTAATGGTCAGTTTTATTCTAATTCTAACACAAAAGGAAAAAGGGTAAGAGATCCTTGGGTAGAGACTTCCAAATAATTTTTCCTTACCATACATAAAAAAGAATGGTATCTTTCAGATACGACTACATTTAACACTGTTAGTATCTAAAATCTTAAGACATTATTTTTGGTACCAGGAATCGAACTCCTGACCTCACGCTAGCAAGGCAGGCACTATGCCGCTGAGCTATATTCCCGGGCTGAAGACATTTACAGCAATATAGAAATACAACTCTAGGGATGTGTAGTTTTTAAGGTAACTTGATCACCCAAGTGAAATGGTAGGACCCACGATAACTGGTTTGTCCATTACAGTCACATATGAAAGTAAATGCCACAAATCCAATCTCGTGGTCTTTGACGGTGCTGTGAACTCGTCCTATCAGCAAGCAGGAAAGTCTAGTGATTCAGTAAATAGCTCTAAGTTTTGTTGGGTTAAACATGTTCCAATATTTTAGACTGCAAAGTGAAATTTCACTTTCCTCTATTAAAATTAATATGTATAAAAGGCACATATAAATTACTATTCTTCCTCCAAAAGTCAGTCACATATATACTCATACATACATTTATTTCTTCAAAAGTGAAGATTGAAAAATTAAATTTTCTATTTAATCTATACCTTACAAAAATGTCTTTCAAAACTGTATATTCTTCATTACAGTATTTCTGATAGCCAAAAATAACCAACTATATGAATATATATTAGTCCCAAGAGACTCCACTTATCAATGGCACTGAAACATAAACTCTTTCTTTCTGGGCAGTGGTGGAGATAGAACCCAGGGCGTGGCACATGCTAGGTAAGCCTCTGACACTGAGCTACAGGCCTAGTCCTTTAGTTAAACTTGTTAAGTATTTGTCAAAAAAAACAGTGAACTGAAAACATGTAATAATTTTAAGTAGCTATCCTTTGGATATGGTTGACTTGTACCCTCAGCCTTTGTTTGTTAAAATGGAGGAAGGTGGCACAATCCATACCCAGGCCACAAATAACCTAACATCAGTCAGCAGCAGAACACAGAAGGAAAACTCACTTGAAATAAGTCTAAGTCAAATTCACATATTAGAGAAAATGTTAATAAGAAACATAGTAAGTTAGAAGAAAATTGTACAACTGGTACTTCTACTACAAAATCTTAATATAAGGCCATTTAACCAAATGTGATAATCTAGACAAAAGATGTGAATCCACCACACAATTTGAAATAGTTATACCAGGAGTATGACCAATGAATCTTAACCTAAAAATGTAATAAACTTTAGGATAACTGGTGAGAATAAGAAGTCATCATAATTTTAGTATTTTTTAAAACTAAGCATAAGGAACTATATTGATACTATAAAAGGATAGCAAGTGTTAAGTTGCTAATGAATAAATTTCATTTTCATCTTTTGCTTCAAATTTCCATTTATATATTTGTTTGAAATAGACTCATAGAGGGTATTACATATAAATATACACACACTAAAGGTAATTGCTTCAAAGTTTACAAATACCTACATGATAACCTTTAATCTTATTTAACTGAATACCTGTTGCATTTGAGACATATTTATCTTTAAGCTAATTTGTGATTACTCCCAAAAAAGTAATTTCCAGAACTAGTATGAAAAATATTAGCCTACAAACATTACATTCATTTAAGGGAAGGGAAAGCTTTGTATTACTCACGCCCCAAATTCAGTATCTGCTAGGATGCTTTGAACACAGTGTGAACTGAGTACTTGCTTCAAAGAATTTGCTGTCTGAGGTATAATTACCAGAACATTCTAATAAAATATCAGCACTGTGATTTAAAAACTAATTCGGGCTGGGACTGTAACTATTGACAGAATCAAAACAAAACAAAATTCAGTTTACAAAATGTTGACCTATACCCACTTTCCAGTCACATATCCCATGCATTAGTAATATGTTCCCGTATTTTAAGTAGCATTAAATTGTTACTGTTTTTTTTTTTGTTTAGAAATATCTGTTTCTTACCTTTTTGCCAGATAGCAAATCTTCTCCAAGTAAGTCATCTTCAAGTTCACTAAGAAAAGGAAAGGTCAAAATATTATTCCTATAATACTGAAAACTTGTGTGGGTTATGTGGAAGTTTAAACAAGGGTTCTGGAGCTTAGAGACTTTCATATGAAACTGTTATACTTTCCTTTTACTTTATTAATAATGAAATGGTATTTTTAAATACTGAGGGAACATTCCTTTAGGTAAGGACAGACAAGATACAGACGTGTCTGACTAAACTTTTTAAATTTTGCAATTCAGTAGCAGATCTGAATCTCTTTTACCTGTTAGAAGTAAAACAAGACACTGCATTAGAAATATTATCTAAACTTTCTCCTATCTTTAAAAACTTACGGTGAAATAGGAAAAGATCTTCACTATTCATCGGGATAAAAGCCAGAGAGATCATGTGACACTTACCAAACTGTCAAAAACTAAAAACATTAAAGATGTTTAAACTGTGAGGTTACAAAATTAAATCACAGTAACCAAGAGAATTATCTGTGGATAGCATGCAAGTCACAGTGGTCACCTGCAATGTTTTCTGGTATATTTCTATTCCAAGTTGACCGGGAGCAGGGTTCCCCACAATTAACGCAGGACCCCTTAGCAAATCAAAAAGGCAGATTAATTTTCAGGTTTTTTGATGGGTAGAAATGACTACCACTGGATTATGTCTTTATTTCTGGAGAATACAACCTCTTAGGGGCTGGGGATTTAGCTCAGCGGCACAGTGCCTGCCTGGCAAGCGCAAGGTCGTGAGTTCAATTCCAGGTTCCGGGAAAAAAAAACAAAACAACAACAATAAAAACCCAACCTCTCAGAAGCAAATGTCAGGCTAGGGATATAGCTCAGCAGCACAAATGCCTGCCTGCCAAGCACAAGGTCCCGGGCTCAACCCCCAGTACCAAAAAAAAAAAAGCAGCAGCAGCAGCAGCAAATGTCTTTAAAGACCAGCATATAGAAAGAAAAAAAAAAACATGGTTGGACTGATGATTCCACATGCAAATGTTCATGGAGATTTAAATGCAGCAGTATCCTTACTAGAAGTATTACTCTTCTTAAAGGCTCTAAACTGGGCATGATGGCATACACCTTTACCTGGGCTACACAAGAGTTCAAGGCCAGCCTGAACTACATACCAACACCTTGTCTCAAATTAAAATTATATTAAATTAAAGGCTCTAGTTATAAAATTCTATAGGTTTTGAGAGATGAGCACTAAGACTATTTACTCAAAAAAACAGAATACTAAGATTTCTAGGAACATATACACAGAGTTATAACATTTCTGTGTGATAGCTTCTATAACTAGAAACAACACAAAAAATCATTTACTGCACTGAAAATTTCTTAGCTCTTTTCAGTTAAACCTGCAATAAGCCTTATACCCTTGTTTTTCAATTTTATGAATAATTTAATAAAATTTTCTAACAAAAAATAAGAGAACCTCATTTTATGGATGAAAATAATAACACTAAATAACTTCCCTAAGGTCACATAGCAGAGACAGACAGATAAAGGACAAAACTTCACAGCCCTTGAAAAACAATCATTCACAGACTTGTGCAGGACAGTTCTGAGAGAAATGTACTATTCTTTCCAACATATTTAAACCAGTAAGTATCCATCAGATAGAGTGTTTCTATCTTCAGTGTTACAATTATCCTTCAGGGAAGGGGGAAATATGCTGTCTGGTCAACGTTTACAACAGCTCAATTTAACAATTTGATTCTAGATGACCCAAAACATACAAGCACCTCTTTGAAGATAAGCAGAGTCTATGTTCCATCAAATTAAGCAACTGAAAATGGACAGTAATACCATATTTCCAGGACACACTAACTATGATGGTAGTAAGGGCAAGTGTTAGTAATTACACAAACAAAAACACTAGCAAGTATCTAAGACTTTTGCTGACAAGAAAAGGCATCCGAAATTAAGGAACCAATATTTAATACTACCTACTCTCAAACCCAGCATGGTGACACACGCCTGTAAACCCAGCAGCTAGAAAGCTGAGGTAGAAGGATCACTGCGAGATCAAGACCAGTCTGGGATACAAAGTGAGTTCAAGACCAACCTCAAACTGCACAGTGAAACCCCATCTCAAAAAAAAAAAAACAAACACACAAAAACCCACAGGTTGCTGTTAAGGTAGTGCCAGCGAGCAGAGTGTGGGTCTGTGCTCTGCGCTCCCTCCATCGCCTCCAGATGGTGCAGCCTGCCTGTGGAGTGTAAGTCCACATTCCACCCTTGCTCCATTGTCCCCAGAATAGCGGTGCTGGCGAATGGAGTTAGGTCTGCGCTCTACACTTCCTCCGTTACCCTGGAACACCAGTGCAGGCTCTGCCCTTCCACCATCGTCCCCAGAACAGTGGTGCTGGTGAGAAGAGTCAAGTGGAGAGTAGGTCCATGCTCTGTGCTTCCTCCGTTGTTCCCCATAGCAGCTTGCTGGCAAGAGGAATGACAGCGGTGCTGGCTAGAGGAGACATCCTGAGGAACACAGACCTCCTAGGAAAGCCTCGGTATCAGTGATAAGGCTATCTAACAGAAACCTAAAAGCATCACAACAAACAAAATAAAATAGAAAACGACAAGACAAAAAAGCAAAATGCAAAACGCTCAGCCCACCCAGGACAACCAGAACAAAACGGGCGGAAATTGGTAGCCGGCTATTTAGCTCAGTGGCATTGCGCCTGCCTGGAAAGCATGAGGTTGTGAGTTCGATTCCCCGTACCCAAAAAAAAAAAAGAAAAAAAGAGAGGAAATTGGAAGCCAACAAATAGAACTCTCTGAAATGATAGCACCAGAAGTAAACAAATAGAAGAGGCCATAGATAAAATAATCTGTAAGTTTCAAAAAGGAATGACTATCAAAATAAGACATTAAGGCAGACACTGATGAACAATGAAACAGATCCAAACAGAAATGCAGAAGATTAGAAACTCCACTGAAAGTATACACGGCACACTGAATAAAGGTGAGGATAGAGTATCAGACCTAGAAGAGAGGAACGCAACCAGCAACCAGGAAAAGATACCTTAAAAATTGCAAGAGACCACAAACAAATCAATTCAATAGCTACAGGATGAAGCAAAGAATGTAAGATTGTTGGAATCAGAAAACTGAAGACAGCACAAATGCCATTCTCTGTATTCTATTTCTGCTTCCTTATGCAGCTTTTTGTCTCTAGCAAGAGCTTCAAGACTTCCTCAAACCTCCAAAGATTTGAACTCCACATATCTCATATATACAGTAAAGGACTCGGTATCTTCATGGGGACTTTGTCATCTGATTTTCCAAAGCTGTTCTAGATGTCTGGATTTGAGGCAGAACTCATTTATTGCTCTGACTCCAGTGATGAAATTATTCTGAGTGTATTTTGATTCATACTCCCTTTTCTTAAGAACTGCTTTTATGTGCAACCACTCTGAAGATGATATTATGTAATATAACAACCATTGTTAATATCCTATCACCATGTTTTGAAATTCTGTTATCATTTTTATTGTTCTCTATGCTGTTTTGTTTATGTATTTGTTTTTGTTATTTTGGGTTTTTTTTCTTTTCTCTTTAAAATGAAAAAATTTATATGTATATACAAGGATAGTTGAGATAGGTGTACTGTTGATGTTTGTGGTTTATTGCAAGGAAAAGTCCATGCTTAAAAATTTTTTTTTCTTGACCAACTTTGCACGCTTGAATCTGGTAATCAGAATGACTAATTTGAAAACAACAATATGCAGTGTAAGAACCATTGTAGAATTCTTACCATCTTGTATGGTGAAGCTCTGCATCATTTCCCATGTTTTTTTTTTTATTACTTGTTACTATCTTTGATTGTTTGATCAATCTTACACTCTTACGTGTGGTGGACTGAGCAATTTCACTGAAGATAACAATATGTAATGTACCAACCATTATTAATTCCTATCATTTTGTTATTCTTATCATGTATTAGTAATGTTAATTATCATGTTAATTAATTCCTATCATTTTCCTGTCATTTTGTTCCTATCACTGTTAATTCCTATCATGTATCATTTTTGTTGTTTTTGTGTTGATTTTGTCTTCGTTGTTGTTTTTTTTAATTTTTAAAATTAAAAAAAAAACTGCTTTCAACTTGGAAAGGTTCTTGCTTTAGTGGAGCTTTGTGTTCTGCGTCTACATTTTCTGCTGTTTCTTCAAAAGATAGTACTTTTTCTACCCTGAGAGTTTGTGATCCCTGCCCTTCTTTTTGGATATTTGTAGAGCACAGCTTTACTTGGCTTAGTGTAGAAATATGTGGGTGATGATAGGGAACCCTGTATGCAAAGTTTCCAAATGTCACAAGTTCTGCCATTCCCGGCAGCTGCTGGAGCTGCAGCCCGCTGCCCTGCAGCTCAAACGGAGCCAGCACAGAAGAGACCAACGGTAACTGTTGGCCACAGTGGTAGCAGCAGAGGTCCCCACTTGGACACTGCCACCTGCCTCCAAGCCAAAATTGGAATATAAAAGTTAAGAACTGAATCATCTCTCTTGATTTTCCTAATTTCAACCGTGGAAGAACCAAACTGCTTGCAAAAGCATCACAGGTAACAGAATGAAAGTGCATTACTGCATGAAGTTCACCAGACACAATGCGGCTCCCAATGGACGTGTGTAACACACAGAAGAGGCTTCATTCCTCCACCCTCCCCACACTCAGGCCTAGTACTCTGCACCAACACATTGTTCAAAGAATATCCTACAAATACCTCAGAGGGTGCAAGCAGCAAAGGCAGAAATTCTACAAGACATACTACTTTGTTTCTTCCACAAAAAATACAAGAAACTAAACTAAGATGGGGAGTTCTGTGGGTTGGACAACTGTCCCCAAAAGATGCATATGTTAAAGGCTTGTCCCCAGTGTGGCAATATGAGGAGGTGGTGGAAACTTGGAAGCCGGGGTCTAGAGGGAGGTGCTCAGGTCAATGGGGACACACGCTTGAGGCGACTGGGATAGTCTCCCCCTTACTCTCTGTCCTGCTGGCTCATAAGGCAAATGCTTTCATGACATCATGCATTCTGCACTCCCACCTGCCGGCCTGCCCTCTCAGAGACCCAAAGCAACAGGGTCACTTGTTCATGGAATAGAACCTCCAAAGCTGTGAGCCCAAAAACATCTTTCTCTTCATGAGTTAACTGTCTCCAGTACTTCCTTGTACCAGTGGAAAGCTAACCAACACAGCGGAGAACCTATAGATGAAATAACACTTACATGACTTAGTCAATTACAATACATGGACCTTATCTGGATCCAATTCAAACTATAAAGAAGTAGGTATGTATCCACATTGTTTAAGTATCTTATATATGCAAATTTTTTTGGTTTTTGACATAGGGTCTTGCTATATAGCCCAGAATGGCCTTAAACTCACTATGCAGCCTAGGCTGGCCTTGAGCTCCAAGCTGTTGCCTCAATCTCCTGAGTGCTAGGATTATAGGCGTACACTACCATGCCTGGTTTACAATATCTATCTAATGTGTGTGAATACACACACACACACACACACACACACCCCTAAAGATATGAGACAATCAGGGAAATGTGAACAATAATAAGACATTTAAAACTGTCTTATTTTTCTCATTGCCAAGAAAATACTCAACAACTAAACTTAGAAGAAGAAAGGTTTATTTGGCTCACAGTTTGTAGAACTGTCAGTTCACAGTTGGCTGGCTCCAAGGCAGCGTGGCACATGGCAGAGGAGAAACAGCTCATGGCAGGCAGAAGGCAGCATGGCAGAAAGCAGCAAGAACAAGTGACCAGCAACCTTCCTTCTAACCCTTACATCTTACCCACCCTTAGGGTGGATAGCACTCACACCGAATTTGGGGCACCCTTAATGCTACCCAGAACTATGCCCAAACAATTAGGGGACTAATTTAGTAATTACACACACTTGATCCCAGCATCAAATACTTAATCCCAGCATCAGACGCTCTAGACTCAGCCACCTCTGAAAATCCCCACCTATGACTGCATGAGGCACTGGAGGACATCTACACACAACCATAATAGTAACATAACAATGAATTTTACTTTTAGACAACTATTATGAGTATATCTGAAAATCCCTCATTGGAGAGCAACATTCCAAACTATTTTTACATGAAATTATGTTACTATTTGAGGGGGGGTTGCAGCATACAGATATAAGATTGTATATAAGCTAATAAGTGCTGAAGTTAGATAATGGTACATTGGGCTTATTGTAAAATGCTATTTTCACATGCTTTTAAAAATCAATCAATTTAAGCCAGTTGTGGTCCATTGTAATTCCCGCATTCTGGGAGGTTGAGGCAGAAGAATCACAAGTTTAAGCCCCTCCCAGGCAACTTGGTGCCTTAACAAGACCCTGCCTCAAAATAAAAAAATAAAGGGCTGGGGTACCAGCTCAGTGTGAAGGCCCTGGGTTTAATTCCCAGGATCCCCTCTCAATAAATCAATTTACTTAATTTCAGGCAGATTACATAGCAAAAGGAAAATTAGTTTTCACAGAAACACATAGGACATGCCAAGAACACAGGGTGGGGAAAATTTTCTCCAGGACAAAACCCAGTGCCCTTGAAGTGAGGCACTAAGGGCAGAGCCTCACCTACTCAGTGTTCCTGACCAAAACCCAGAAAACACAGCCTGACCATGGGAACATCAATAAGCCCAAACTGGGGATACTCTGCAAAATAAATGTTGTGCAGTATTCAAAAACTCAAGTCATAACAAACAAAAGCTACAGAATTTCTTCACAGTATGAAACAAAGGAGAAAAAATGCAATGTATGATCCTGGGTTCAATCTTGACCAAAACAAAACAAATGCCTTTTTTGCCTATAAAGGACATTTCTGGAACAACTAACAAAACTTGCAATCACTGTAGATTAAAAACAGAATTGCATGTTTTGTTAATCTCCCTAAGAATGAAAAATAACAGTGGGTAAGTAAAAGTCTCTATTCTTGAGAAATACTATACACTTAAAAAATATGCACTGAAACATTAAAAAAAATAGCACGATGCTATTATGTACTATCAAATGGTGTAGGAAATTTTTATACATATATAAAAGAAAGTACACATGAATGTAACAAAAAGCAGGTGGTGAGTTTGAGAACAGATCAAGTGGGAATTTTTATGTTACTCTTGGAACTTTCCTATTTAAAAATTATTTTTTAAAGGAACATGTCACAGATTAGGGAAACATAATCTTTCCAAAAAGTATGAAGAATCTAAGTTAATAAAGAGAAGACAAACCCAGAAGAATCTTTTCCTATTTAAAAATTATTTTTTAAAGGAACATGTCACAGATTAGGGAAACATAATCTTTCCAAAAAGTATGAAGAATCTAAGTTAATAAAGAGAAGACAAACCCAGAAGAAAACACATGGAGATAAACCAGACAAGGCAAAGAGGAAATCTAAGTGAGAAGTAACCTGCTAAAAGACTTTATAACTTAGTTCACTGCTGCACATGATAGATTTTGTGTGTCAACTTGGCTATACTAAGGTGCGAACATCCAAGGGTGTTTGAATCAGCAGTCTAAGAAAAGAAAATCTATCCTTACTCTTGCCAGTATGGATAAGCATTATCCAAAAAATGGCAGACTTTGGGTAAACTCACCTTCTTGCACTGCAACATCTACATTCTCCTGTCTCAGTCCTCAGGGCACCTGGTGCTTGGGCTTGGGCTTGGGCTGGACTGAACAGCACCACCAGTTTCCCAGGTCTCTCATTTTGCAGACAGCAGACTGTGGGATTTCTCAGCCCCCAAAACTGCATGATCCCGTTTTTATTATAAATCTCTCTGTGTATCCATGCCCTACTGTTCCTCTGGAGAATTTTGACTAACACATCAAATGCAATCGACCATGCAAACTAAGAGCAACAACATTTCTCAGTTTTACTCTATAAAATTTCCAGGTCATTGTTTTCAAACAGGATATAGGAATTCTTTTCATTGCAGTACTTTTGTTCTCTATTCAAATCTATTTACTTATATTATCTAATTTTCTGATTGCATGCAAGTCCAAAGTAACTTTTAAGTTTTTTCATCCCAGCACTGAAGATGGTTAGAAACTTGTAGAGAACCATGGGTGTTCTCAACCCCATCACCTCAATGAAGTCCCACTGTCTGCTCCCTCTGTACACACTCCTCTCACCTCTACTGCACTCCTCTCCTCACTGAACGTGCCCACCACACTGACCTGACAGCTGTCATTACTGCCACAGTTTTATACCACCTGCAAATATAAATTCCTAAACAGGCATTTTCATCTGTACCAGTAATATGTCAAGTACGAATTAAAATCAACATATATTGTAATGGTTGGCCAGGCATGATGGCCCACATCTGTAATCCCAGCACTGGGGAGACTGAGACAGGAGGATCACTGTGAGTTCAACGCCAGCCTGAATTACATTGAGAGACCCATCTCAAAAAAAAAAAAAGAACTTTTATTTAACAATCGTAAACACTAGCCAACTACTCTAGCAAAGGTTCTGGTATCTACAGTTATTGCCATTACTGTACATGGAGAGATAAGGGAAGTCTGTGTTCTGTGGAGCCCTGCATATATTCCAGGCATGAAACAGGGCTCACGGGGGAGTGCCCTTCCACCGAAAGAGCACTCACCTGAGCCCAAGAGGGAGGCCCACTCGGGGCAGGGCATCAGGGAGCTAGCACACTGTTTCCGGTAAGATCCCTGCACAGCCCAGTGACAGACTCATCACAGCACAGACTCCCAGGTACGTATGCACGTACCTGTCCCAGTCTTCATCTGCAGCTCTTCTTCTCCAGGACCGTTCTGCACCAGGCTTATCAAACTGGTCAAAGTCATCATCTGTGAGAAAGAATCCACTCGTCAGTTTTGCTAGATTAAGAATAATTTAACAAAATAATCAGCTACTTAAGCAACTTCTTTAAGAATTCCTGGCCTGACACCTCAAGATGTGAAAGTTTCATATGCAACTATCATAAATGCTTTAGGTATTTTAAATAATTAAAATGCTTAAAAATACCAAGTTACCCAAAGAAAATTAATTTATTAAACACAATTAGACATGAAAAAAATCACTAACAATGGCTTTTTAATTCATAATTTAAAAAGGAATTCTAAGTACTTATTTTTCACTGCAAGAAAGAAAAATGCTGAATTGCTAAAAGTTAAAGACTTTGATAATAGTTTGGTAACATTTAAATTTTTCCTAATTATGAAAAGGAACAAAGACTATTAAAGAAAAGTAGAGATAATGTAGAGAAGTGCTGAGCACAGAAACATAATGCAAGTCACAATCACAATTTTAAGTTTCCTAGTAGCCACATTTTAAAAAGTAAAAAAAAAAACCACACTTTTAATGGGTAAAATTTGAACTATATTTTATTCAACCCAGTATATCAGACATTATCAATACAGAAAATAGTGATAGGATATTTAACATCTGTTCCACATTCCCATATACTGCACACATAACACATTTTGCATTCAACTCAGGCAAAACACACTTCAAGTGCTTGTATGCCTAGCAACCACCAGGGTGCTCACTGAAGTGGATAGTACAAAAGAAATGATTAATAAGCGTACCGTTTTTCATGCTTTTTCCTATAAAATGGAACTATTATCTATCTCAAAAATTTACTAGATTAAATGTGATTATATTTTTAAATACAGAAATTGACAAGAGCCTGACAAAGAGCTGTTTTTGTTTTGGTTTTATTACACAGAGACTCGAAGAACTGAAATTAACATTTTCATCCTAGATACATGTGAGAGCAGAGGTTTAGGAATTGAGGTAGGAGGACTATGAGTTCAAGGCCAGCCTGGGCAACTTTGTGAGATTCTGTCTCAACAATAAAAAAGGCTGGGAAAGTACTCAGTGAAAGAATGCTGACTACAATCACCAGAACTTTTTTTAAAAAGCGTATGAGTAAAAGGACAGAAAGTATTAACAAGAACCAAATTCTCTAACTAAAAAACAGAAATCAGTGAAGTGACAAAGAATAGATTTGTGTTGGAAAAACTGAAAAAAAAAGAAGAAAAAGAAAGAACATAGCCTCAGGAAAACGGGCACACCAACATACGTGGAAACAGAGTACCAGAAATAGGACAGAAAGGCACAGAAAGAGTATCTGAAGAAATAATGGCTGAAGAGTTCCAAAATGTTCAGGAAAATATTAATTAATACTTGTAAAGGAGTAGCATGGTTGAACCTTGCCCTCAGTTACATACACCATTTTAAGTTTAATCAAGGTCAAGGTAGAATGCCTGGCCTGGAGATGCAGTAAAACACAACTTGTGAAAAAAACCCAACCTAACCCTAACCCTACTCCTAAACACACCAGCCTTAGACTAAACCAAAGGCCAGACTAGATACAGTGAAAAACAACTTGTTTGTACCAGTAAACCACCACCAGATGTCAGACACACCAAACGCACTATACTTACCAGCCCAAAGCAGAGACACAAAGACACATATGAGAAACACTTCAGTCTACAGCACAACACACAACCTGTCACGTCTTCTCAAGCCACTCCAGTAACTTCAGCATGGCTTCTGCCCAGGACTGTTAGACCATGAACTCCCACATGTCCTCAGACTCAGCTCAGTGCAATCCTCCCCAAAGTCCACACTTCCCATTTTGTGATGCTGTCCAGACCCCTTATCCTGAGCATCTCTGTACCAGTAAATTAACCCAACACCTGAACCCCCAGTGACTGCACTGCCACTGAGTCTGCACAGGCTCTGTGGACCACCTCACTACATTGAGTCTTTTTTTTTTTTTTTTTTTTTTTGTGGGGCTGAACAGTGATCCCAGGTCCTCACATATGCTAAGCAGGATCTCTACAATCCCCAGGAGACTACATCCCCAGCCCTGAGTTGAGTCTTTAATTCCTACAGTCTTTACTCTTTCCAACTTTCTATAGTTTAGTATAATGAAGCATGTGATTTATAGGTGTTAGATATCAGTGGTTAATAAAAGCACAACTTGCAATTGCCATGGTCACCAAACCAAGTGAATGAGGAGTACTTGGTGAAGTAAAGCAAATTAAACTGATCGAGGGGCTGGGGATTTAGCTCAGCGGCAAAAGCGCCCGCCTGGCAAGCGCAAGGTCGTGAGTTCGGTTCCTGGTACCGGAGAAAAGCAAAAAAAAAAAACAAAAAACAAACTGATCGAGCTTGTGAATCTACTAACAAACATTCAATAAATTCTGATACTGCAGAAAGACACAAGCATGATGGTTTATGTTACTGCCATCACACATTAACAACACTACACATCAGAAAGTCTTCATAAACTCAAAAAAGAATATTCCACAACACAGTCAAAATGTTCCAAAGGCAGCTGAGTGCAGTGACGCACACCTGTAATCCCAGTACTGAGAGAGGATGAGGCAGGCAGCGGATCACAAGCTCTTGTCCTGCCTGGGCAACTTACCCGGTCTCAAACTAAGTAACAGAAGGGTGCAAGGATGTAACTCAGTATGAAGGCCCTGGATTCAAAACCCAGTAACACCAAAAAAAGACAAAAAAAGTTCAAAAACAAGAACAAAATTTGAAAGCAACAAGAGAAAAACGATTCAATACTTACAGAGGACATACAATAATAGTTGATTCTCATCAGAAACAGTATCAACCAGGGCAGCAGGGTAACATTCATGGAGCTCAAAGAACCTTAAGTACAGCAAAACTTTCATAAAATCACATAAACGCACAAATAAACGGAAACTAACATACATAAGACCAACCAACAAGCCGAAATAATTACTATGAAAATAAGAAAATGTGTTTGACAACACTGAGATTCCAACTCACCCCAGAAAGAATGGCTATTATCAAGAAATCCACCACTAACAAATGATGGAGGGGCTGGAGGGGAAAAGGAACCCTCTCCACTGTTGGTGCAAGTGTAGGCTGGTGCAACCACTGTGGAAATTCCTCAAAAAAACTAGGACTAGAGCTTCCATTTGACCTCGCTATTCCTCTCCTTGATACCTTCCCCCAAAGAATTGAAAGCATCATACCACAGCAATACAGCCACACCTACATTTATAGCAGCACAGTTTGTAATAGTCAAATCTTGGAAAGAGCCCAAATCTCCATCAGTTGGTAAATGGATAAACAAGATGTGGGGTTTTTTGTACAATGGGAGTAATATTTCTGCCATAAAGAAGAGGCGCTGGGGATATAGCTCAGTGGCACAAGTGCCTGCCTGGCAAGCGCAAGGTCCTGAGTTCGATTCCCAGTACCAAAAGAAAAAAAGAAGGATAAGCATGAGGCATTTCTAGATAAATGGATGCACCTTGAGACCATACTCTTAAGTGAAATAAATCGGACACAGATGTGTAAATACCACATTGTTTCTCTGGTGTGAGAAACCAAGTGTTAATAAGTACCAAAATGTGTAATAGGTATTGTAAAACTGGAAGAAAATGTTCAAATGGAGAGGGGAATAAGGGAGGGGAAGGGGGAAAGAAAAGAAGGGAAAAGTTAAAAAAAAAAAGAAATAAAAAAAGGACAAAATGAAAACAAAGCTTTTGTAAATCGGAAGAGGAAGAAAGGCTGAAAAGAGGGTAGAAGAATGGGAAAAAAAGAATCAAGTTATATCATGTACAGGGACAAATTCTTCATGATGAATGTGATCATTATCTATACCTAAAATGTACCAAGAAAATCTAATTAAAAAAAAAGAAAATGTGTTTGAGATGGAAGACTTTCAAAAGCATAAAAGAACAAAATTTACAGATCAAGGAAAACTACTCAGAAATTTATGGCTAAAAATGGCCACACTGACAAAGAAGATCTCACCCACCTACTTTACATCTTGAGGAACTATAAAAAGTAGAGCAAAATAAATCAAAAACTAGCAGGAGGAGGTAAATAATGACAGCAGGTACAATGAAATAGGCTAGAAAAATACTTCCAAACTACATTCTATGAGGCCAGCTTAATTTTTTTTTTTTTTTTTTTTTGGTCCTTTTGAGGCAGGGTCTCCCTATGCAGTTCAGGCTGGCCTTGAGCTTACTTTGTAGCCCCCGCTGATCTCAAACTCACAACGATCCTCCTACCTCAGCCTCCCAAGTGCTAGGATTACAGGTGTGTGTGCCACCACACCTGGCCTTTGGACCAGTTTAAATCTAAATAAAGATATTGTAAGAAAAAAAAACTACAGACTACTGTATCTTGTGTACATGTAAAGGTTCTTTTAAAAAACATAGCAGCCCATCCCCCAAAACAAATTAGCAAACAGATATCAATAATGTATTAAAAGGATAAATCACATCACTATGTGGGGTTTATTCAAGCAATGAGAGGTGATTTAACATTCAAGAATCAATGTTAAAAAAAAGCAATGTTATATATCACATTAACAAACTACAGCTGAAAACCCAAATGTACATCTTAATAAAAGCAGGAAAAGCACTACATAACATCCAACATCAATTTCTTATTAAGAGTAAAACACGAAGAAACTTTAATCAAACTGAGTTAAGGGCATTTATTAAAACAAACAAAAAACCTAAAGCAAATACTACAAAGGAGAAAACCCAAATGCCTTCTTTTAGGATCAGGAACAAGACAAAGATGGCTGCTCCCACCATCTTTATTTAGTATCCTAATAAGAATCTCTCCTAAAACAACCAGACAAGAAAAATACAAAGAATTCAGATTGAAAAGAAGTCAAAAGTAAAGAAGAAGTAAAAAGTAAAATTTTTTATGCACAGGAAACACGACTGGCTGTGTAAAAAATTAGAATCTATGAAAACAAAATGACAATTTGCAAGGTCATAAAATATAAGATCAATACACAAAATTCAGTAGTATCTCTACTGTCATGAATGAGCTATGCCAGCAACAAACTAGACAGACACATTTGTGTCTTTCCAATGTCAGAATTTTTGTTTTGTTCTGATTCTGGAGATTCAACTCAGGGCCTTCAAACTGAGCTACAACCCTAATCCTTTTTTAGTTTTTATTTTGATACAGTCTAGCTAAGTCATTAAATGGCAATCCTCCTGCTTCATCCTCCCAGAGTACTGGGATTACAGCTATATGCCACCACAACCAGCTAGAATTTGTAACAATGCACAAGCTACATCAATTTCCTCAGTCTTACTAGGGGAAGTCCTCAAGGTTCGCTCAGTAGCCAGTGAGCATAGCAACCAGATTCTTTTATCCCAAATCTTTACTTACTGTTATTAACAGCGCGGGAGAAAACACCTGTGAGGAAAAGGCTAAATTTCATTCCATTAGGGTCCAGACAAGCTGAGAGCATGGAGGATATTAGCAGGTATCCAGAGAAGTTTAGTTTATATACAGTTTGGGGGATGAGGGTCATAATCCCAAGGAATCTGGATGGAATGTTTAGGGTCAAAATCAGCACAGGTGTGCAGGTAATGCTGGACATACCAATGCCATGGAGATTGTACGATCAATCCCAAATTTCCTTATGGCCATCAGTCCTGTTTGCTGGAGGGCAGCATGGTCCTTTTAGTGGTTTCCTATTGTCTGCTGAGAATGGCCTGTTTGCTAGGTCAGGCATGGCAGTTACTAGCACCTGTGACACTCAAGTGACTTCTTACACTTCACACAATCACAGGTTATAGAATACCTAAGAAAGGGTCCTCGAGCTGCAGGATTCAAAGAGAAAGACCTAAGAGGCAAAGCAGAAGAGAGACTACAGAGATGGGAAAGATCACAGACCAGACAGAGCTGATTCACAGCCTTAGGTGGTTTTCTGGAGGTCTCATTACAAAGACCTGACTGAGTAAATCACTGACTAAAGATGGCTATAAGCCCTCTACCCTCTCTCCCCACCTGGGAAGTTGGAGGCTGAGGCAGAAAAGTCTAACCCTATAAACGCATGGCTGGGTTTTCTGACAACCAGCCCTCATCCAGAAACTACCTAGAGCTTCCACCAGCTACCTCGTTAGCATAGAAAAGGTAGTAAATTTCAAGAGCTTTAGTTCTGTGCTCCTAACCAGGAACAACGACTAAATACTTCCTTTTTATCAAACCACAAACTGTCACTCAAAAAATCCTGTCCCCTTACTTAGCAAAAGGGTCTGTGCTAATACAATGATTTCAATGAAGTCATTCTGGATTAGAGTGAGCTCTAAATCTGACAACAGGCATGGTAACCCTAAAAGAAAGACATCTGCACACCCATGCTCACAGTAGCAGTATATGTAAAATGACCAAATGGTAGAAACAACTGAAATGTTCACCAAAAGGTAAATAGGTTTTAAAAATACAAGTATGCTATCCACACACAATGGCACATTATTTAGTCTTTAAAAAGGGACAAAATTCTGGTTTAAGCTACAGGGAAACCTTGAAGACATCATATTGAATGACATAAGGGCTCAAAGTCCTAGAACACAAACTAAGAGCTCTCTGTAAGGCTGCGTTTTATTTCTTATGTTCTCTCCAGTGCTTTCTTTTCTGTTCTTTAGATTATAAACCCTTTTTAAATTTTCAGTTTGTCATTCACATCAGTTTATACCAGCCATGCTGAGCAGAACCAAGAGAAGAAAATGTCTGCATTAATCCAGAATTTGAAAGTGTTACAGACAGCTAAATTAGGTGGAAATATTCTAGGTAGTCAGACAGGGCTAGGCCTCCAAGGAGCCAGCCCAGAAGACTGGATACACTGCAACTGGTAGGGAGACAGACATCTCTGCTAAAGGCCAGATCTCAAGACAAAACATGTCACAAATGCACCCACATTCTTTCCCGTTAAGGATAAGCAACGGTGGTTAATATTCTAAATAGGAATCCTCACCTTGAAAAAGCCAGGAAGAGCCACTGACCCACATGCCTACTTGCTATGTGACTTGCTTTTCCATGTGATCCCCATTTAATCAATATTTTCTGAGCAATTACTGCTCATAATCTGATCGGTTGACCATAGGTTTGTCCTATCTCATGCCCACCTCATGATTTCCCATTTTTTCCCACCTCAGACTCTCCTTACCTCATGGTGTAGCTCTATAAAAATCCCTAGAGGGCCAGGGATTTTTATAGAGTGGCACAAGCACCTGCCTGGCAAGTGCAAGGTCATGAGTTCAATTCCCGGTACCAAAAAAAAAAAAAAAGAAGTTTTTTCCCTAGAAAAGGTAGGGTCCTCGGCAAACCACTTGGGATCCCTTCTGTCTCTCCCAGACAGAAGCTCTCTTTCCCCATAAATACATTCTGCTCTTAACCTCCATTGTTCCTAGAATTTGTTCTTTGATTTTTAGAGAAGATGAACTCTATGGACATCTAGCAGGTTGGCAATTTCTTTCCCCTATATCAAAAGACCAAGGGCAAAATTAACTCAGCAAAACAAGAGTAGTCAAAAGTCTCCTGCTCAACCTAAACCATGTACAGGCATTCTATTTTAATGAGAGGGTCAGTCTTCCCCATCAATAAAACCAAAGACATCTACCAGATCCATATACCTTTCTAACATACAGCAATCAGGTATCCAAATTGAACACAACTCCTTATTTATCTTCCCATTAGTTCTTCCTCTTTTCTGGAAACTTAGACTGGACAGCCTATTAGGACAGGGTTCTAGTAATTGTCTAGTAGCTATGAGCCAAGTAGGGCTGCCATAGTTTCTGTCCAAATTTAGCATCAGGGTCCACTATGTAAATACTTATTGGACCAGATCAGCACCAATTCAATTATATACTGTCCACAGCTGCTTTCAAGGGCAGAGCTGATGCGAGCAACAGAAGCCATTTCCTACAACGCCTAAAAAGGTCTTTACAAGGAAAAATATTGTGAACCTTTGTATTCCAAAAGTTGCTAACTTTCCTACCTTGTCCTCAACATCATTTTCATGTATGTTTCTGTCCTAAATAACTAAGAGTCAAAATCTCTTATTTTTTGGATGAGGAAATGCAGACCTGTTATTTAAATTTTAGTTAGAAAAAACCTCAAGTAATGTTCAGTAACTTTCAAACTGAACATATGGGGTCTACAGTATAACTATTAACTTGTGAGTAACCACAGTAGTCAGCTTTCCTACTGATGAACACAGTACCCTACACACAACTTAAAAGAAGCTTAATTAAGCCCATGGTCTGGGAGATTCAATCCAGTCACTGGCTTCAAGGCAGAAACATGGCAGAAGGCTGAGATAAGAAAGAGCAGCAGCTGGGAGAAGAGCAAAGGAAGGGGGAAGAACCAAAACCACGCCTACACGACACATCCAGACACACCCAGGAGCATGCTTCACAGATGTGCTAGGCCCTTCTTACTCCAGCAAAGCTGACATATCAAGATAGTAGTCATAGGAACCAAGTACAACTTTCAAAAACTTCCTATAGCATACTGCGGAGGAGGACCACCACGTTGCCCTCCCCAGACCCAAGTGTGCTGTGCTTACTTGTGAGTAGTGCAGAGATGACTTCCCTAAATGGGCTTTCAGTTTATTAGTGAGTCTGACTGAGGCTGTGTATCTTCATGAAAGCAGGAGGCTGATGATAGACTAGCACTGTTTATCATCAATGGCCACGCTGAGCTGATAGACAAGCTGTGATACTCTGCAGCTAAGACATGAGATAACATCTCCAGGAGAATACTTTGTCCCCTCTCTTACAAGGCTTGTCATCCTCACTACTTGTCTAGCACACCCAGCCACAATCCCCTCACCATTTTCCTCAATGAATAAATACAGGTTCTGGGTGCCTCATTGCCTTTTGCCCCCTCCCCAACAACTGGTCATCTGTTCTGTCTCTTGCTCTTTCTTCCTGCCATGTACCATAGCATTTGTTAGGAGATTAGAACCCACTGCAGGGGTCTCCAATACCACATGTGGTGTGATCAAAAATTAAGAGAATGTTTAAATTTTAAAATTACAGTAAAAGACACATTGCCATTAATCTCCCTCACTTCACACTTAGCCCATCATGCTTGCCACTTTCTGGAAGTTCTGGAAGTTCTCCTTCCTGAGTGTCCTTAGTTGTGCTGTCATGGCTGCCTCAATATCCTCAATCAATTCAAAACCTTTCCCTTTCATGATCATTTTGACTTTGGGCAAGAGTCAGAAGTTGCAGTGCCACATCCAGTGAACAAGGTGGATAAGGACACACAATGAAGTAGATTAATGGGAATGTGTTATTTACTGTAATAAATTTAAAGTCATATATTTTGATCAGCCCTCGTACTGCTTTAGAAATAATTTGCAGTTATAGTTTAAAACACCTTATGTGGGGGCTGGGGATTTACCTCAGCGGCAAAAGCGCCTGCCTGGCAAGCGCAAGGTCGTGAGTTCGCTTCCTGGTACCGGAGAAAAACCAAAAAAAAATAAATAAATAAAACACCTTATGTGATATGAGCCCTAGGACAGGATCTCCACAAAATGAACTTTATTTTGTTTATGAAGTATAGTTCATAAACATTAGTCTTTTGTCTTCCTTTCAACTGTATGTCCTCTTCCTGTGTTTGGCATCAATGGTAGTGAACCCCATCTGAGAGAACAGAGCTCTGCCTCCCCTGGGAATTCATAAAGGTTCCTTATCACCCTGACAGCCCGGGCAGCCAGGAGCAGGGCATATGGTGGAGGCTCAGGCAACCAGATGCTCTCGTTGTGACTTAAGACATGCAAGAGCAATTGACACCTCATCACTTTCCCGAGAACCTAGACATTCTTTTTAAAAAAACAAAACCTTCCAAAATGATACTCAGATGCCAAACTAGTGAAGTTAGTAAGTAAAAAGGTCAAAGAAAATTAGGAGTTGTTAAAAACTTCCAAGTGTTAGGGAGGTGCTGCGTTAAGTCCATATTAATTTAAAAATATAAATTGGGCACTCTCACACACACCTATACAAAACATAATAAAATGGGTTGGAGATGTAGTTCACTGGTAGAGCACATCTGGATTCAATCCTTAGTACTAAAGAGGGGGAAGAATATATGTAGACTCAGCAAACACAAAGGAAAAAAATTACAAGCCAATTTCTTACAGTCATAAATAAATCCTAAAATAAAACCTGACAATACATTAAAAAGAACAAAACATACAGATTGAGGGGTTTTTTTTTTTTTCTTTCTTGTTTTTTTTCCAGTACCGGGAACCAAACTCACGACCTTGCACTTGCCAGACAGGCACTGTGCCGCTGAGCTAAATCCCCAGCCCCCAGATTGAGGTTTTAAACCCAACAGTGCTGACTGGATCATACTGGAAATCTATCAATATATTACATTCACAGGTTAGGAAAGGGAATGGAACACAAGGTCATCTTAAGAAAAGCCGCGAAAGCACTTGCTAAAAACTCCAATTCAAAAAACAATTTCTAGCTAAATTAACAGTATCAGAAATCCACAGCAAATGCTAAAATAGGAAAACACATAAAGAACATT